ATGGGGGCCTCGGTGAGCAGTGGGCCCAGGTGGTGGATGACACAGTGGGTCCACCTCAAGGGCTGCATCCCAGTTTGTCTCCCGTGGAGACCATGAGTGTCACCTGCTTTTTCACTGTCTAACGTGTTACAAACTCTTGCAAAGAGACACCCTTTCGAGGTGTTTTTTTTCCAACGCCGAAAAGTGGGCAGCCCGAAGTGGAAACGACCCCAGTGTCTGAGACCCTGCACCTCCGCCTGACCCGGGAGGGTCCTAAGCAGGGAGCTGGGCCTGCTGGGGGGGAGGCGGGCCCCCAGTCCTCCGCCCAGTGCCCCCCACCCTGCTCACAGGCTGTCCATCTGTCTCTGTCTGTCCCTGTCTCTCTCCCTTGGACTTTCCAGAACCCCACGTTGCCTCCAATGACTCCGACTCAGAACTGGAGGAAGCCTCGGACCTGCCATCCCCGGCGGGCGGGGTGGCCCTGCACCGCCTTGGCTTCCTGGAGAAGCTGGGCGGCGAGGCGGGCATGGAGGGCGGCCGGGACAGTCGCAGCGGCAGTGAGGAGCAGCTGGGCACTGCTACCGGGGAGGAGGAGGATGCGCCCGGGCCTGGGGTCTGGGAGGACCTCGGGGAGGAACCGGCCCAGCGGCTCGCCGAGCACAATACCAACCAGTGCAACAACGTGGCTGTGGCCCGCCTGCCAGCCGTGAGGCTCCGTGGCGGGCGGCTGGCAGGGTGCGCGGGCTGGGAGAGGCGGCCGGAGTTCGTGTAGCTGGGGCAGCGGGCAGGTCTGCTCCAGGCTCCTGTCCCTGTGGACACGTCACCGAGAGGCCTCTCCTTCCGCCCACAGCGGTGAGGGCATCACTGGCCAACTCTTCCAGAAGCTTCTGCCTGCGCTGCTCCGCATGCCCATCAGGCCCCACTCCGCTGAGCTGGGGGATTCTGCTCTTGGAGTCGCCCGGGCTGTGATGGGAGGGACCCTGCCCACCCTGGCGCTGGGCCGTGGAGGCCACACGGCAGCTGGGAGGAGGGCTGGACGCCTTGAGGCCACACGGTAGCTGGGAGGAGGGCTGGACGTCTTTGTGGATGGTGGGCAGGCAGCCTTGGGATGCCCTGGCTTTTATAGAAAACTGGGTTTGGATACCTGGGGCTGAGGATGCAGTGAAGTTCCACGATGGAGTTCTCTGACGGGCACATTCCTTTTGCATAAAATAAAGTCTTTAACCTCAGCCTGTCTTCTCTGGCAGCAGTGGCCTAGCGACCCAGACTCACAGGGCACTAAGCGCCGTCCCCAGCTCCTCGCTGGGCTTGAGGGGCGGGGCAGGGAGCTGTGAAGAAGAAATTCCACCACAAGGCAGCCACGTCAGGCGCGGGAGCCCAGGTGGCCACGGGGACCAATGCCCATTGACTCCTGACTCGGGCCGCCAGCCCCCGGTGGCTCCCGGGCACTGAGGTGTGGCTGCTGTGCTGAGGAGCCGCAGCTGAAATCTACTTGCACCAAAGGCCTCTGGAAGACAGCGGCCACCATGTGAACGGCACAGCGAGGAAGAGGCGAGCACCCCCCACCTAGCTCAGAGACCCCAGTCGGGTTTATCCCAGAGGGCTGGGGCCGGCTCAGCAGAGACCTAACTATTCATTTGAGGAATTAGATGGAATTCACACCCAGTCATGGTAAAAGCTGCTGGGCCTCCATTCCTGATACAGAACAGCTCACCCCAAACTTCAGTCCCCCACCCAGGCTTAGATAAGACCCACTGTGGCAGTCAGGGCGCTTTGCCCCGCACACACTTTCCTAAGAGTGAGCGGGAAAAGCAGCCAGCAAACTACCAATGTGTTTTGCAAACAGAGATAATGGGCCGGGGCGGGGGGGGGGGGGGGGGGGTCTGCTTGGCTGGATTTCAGAGCTTGGGGGCACGCCCTCTCGGTTACATGTGGCCTGTGGCCACTTCTGCCCTGTAGAGTTGAGCAACTGTAGCAGGGCCACCTGGCCAGCAAAGCCAACATACTGACCGTCCAGCAAAACTTTGCTGACCCCGATCTACGTTTTTTAAAAAAAATGCTCAGAAGAATGAGCAGATCTATTAACATTTCAGAGTGCTCAGCAGGACAGGTAATGGCAAGAAAGCGCCCCACCGTCAGGTGCCAAAGCATCTCTAAGGAGCCTGGCGGATCATGCCACACAACTTCACAGGTTGCACCACCTTCAGACAAGGCTGGCCCAGGCTCACAACATGTCCCGGTAGCCAGGGTGGGGGACTGGGGGTGCTGCGTGAAAGCCAGCCCCTGCCTCCAGACCCGGGGGGGCCCACTTCCTGAGGCCTCGAGGCAGGCAGGCGTCAGGACCAATCTCAGGGACTCAGAACAGGTTGTGCGTAGTGGCGCAGGCAGGCGGAACCGGTGCCCCAGCAACAAGCAGGGGACCCCGAAGGGGAGCTGGTGCCACTGGATGGAGGGCGTAAGGGGAGTCCACACCTCGCACCTGAGACCCCGCACCCGGGGACAGGTCTGTGCCCAGCCGGGAGAACAAGCACCCTAACCAGGAGCAGAAAGAATTTTCAGGGAATCATCAGTGAGTTGATTCTAGAATTCATTTGCAAGAATCAATACTCAAGAACAGCCAAGACAATTTTTTAAAACTGTAAATTATACATATTTCCCATTTTTGCCACTTTAACCCGCACAGTTCACAGGCACTAAGCAACTTCACATTGTCGTGCAACCATCTCCACCATCATCTCCAGAACTTTCTCATCTTCCCAAAGGGAGACTCTGTCCCCGTGAAACCCTGACTCCCACCACCTGTGGACCTGATTCCTCTAGGGACCCCCGTGAGTGGAATCGGACAGGATTCATCTGTCTGTGTCTGGCTCCTTTTGGCCAAGATGGTTTTGGAAAACGATGTATGTCTATCTGGAGGAAAGGGGAGACCTGTTCTCCTGTCAGATGTACTATAAAACTAAGATTTTAAAACCTAAATTCATCAATGGAAAAGAATAGGATCTCAACACAGACCCACATGAATCTGTGCGTTCACTACGAGAGTGGCAACTCAAGGCACTGAGGAGAGCACCTCTGGTTCTTCACCAAACGGCGTCAAGACCGCTGTCTGGGGGAGAGTGACAGCCCCAAGTCATATGATGCCCAGAAGTAAATCCCAGGATTCGAGTCTGATGTATAAAGGCTACAAGGGGCTAGCTAAGAAATACAAAAGGTAGGAAAACATTTTTGTAAAGCGTATCTCTAACAAGGGACCTGAGCCTAGAATATATAACGAACCCCTAAAACTCAGCAGAGACAACCCAGTTAAACAAGGGGCAAAGGACCTGTGCACAGACACGTCTCCGAGATGACCGGCGGGTGGCCAGCGAGCCGGGGAAAGGTGCTCACCACCCTCAGCATCAGGCAAGTGAATCTGAACCACAGCGACTCACCCCCGGCCGCGATTTGGTGAGGAGGTGGAGACACGAACAGGAACCGGGGCAACCGCGGCGGAGACAAGGAAACAAGAGCTTCTGCAGGACCCAGCAATTCTACTCTGAGGTATACCCACAGCCAGAGGAATAAACACAACTACACCACCTCGTACCTGGATGCCCATCCACAGCAACATGACGCACAGTCGCCAACAAATGGAAACAGTCCATCAACTGAAGAATGAACACATGTCCCTCCACACACAGGAGCATCACTCGGCCGTGAAAAGGGGTGAAGCCCTGACACTCCTACAACGTGGACGAACCGTGAGAACACGATGCTCCGTAAGAGAAGCCAGACACAGAAGGACACAGTGTGTGATTCCATTGATGGGAAACGTCCAGAACAGGCAGATCCACAGAACACAGAATCGTGGTTGTCAGGGGCTGGGGGCG